CATCTATTAAAAGAAAATATTGTTAATACCAAATTGTAAAATTGTATTTATATCTGTTATCTGAATATCGCTCAATCAATTAAGTAACCGCAGTAATATTGCTCACTTAATTAATTAAGATTGACACTGATTGAACATGCCACAATGATTAGTATGATTACTAAATCATAATTAATTACTGAGATGTGGTCATGGTGAACATACTAATCCTATGTTAAAAAATACTAATCCTTTCCGTAAACAGATTAAAACTTCAAAGCATTACCGCATGTTGCTCTCACGTTCAGTCTAAAAAGTCTAATGTCGCTCTGGAGTGACGACACCCCCTACAGCCTACCATGAGCTCATCACTGAACAATCCTAATCTCATTTGCATTGTCCATATTTTATGTCTTAATCCTTCTCATCTTAATACAGGGTTCCAATCAACTTGTCCATACAAACCTCTGTATTGTTTTTACTATCATGCCTTGTTATCCTATTATTCCAATATGTCTATCATCAGTCTTCATAAATCAACTTTATATGTTGTGTAAACATCAATCTGATGTTACCTGGGATATCCGGGATTGTGATTCCCTTCTATCCTGGCAACTTATTCTTACCACACCTTGGTTCCAGGGATGATGTAGCTCATTCAAATCAGGGTTTGTTGTTCAATTCCATTTATTGTAGGGTGTTGGATGAGAATTCCACACAATAGGTCCTCAGATGTATTTCAGTTGCCTGACTGATATTTTCACAACACATTTCTAGATGATGCACTGAAGAGTATTCCATATCAGCTCATAACCTCTAACGTTTAGTTTTTCAACTTCTGAAACACAGAGAGAGAACCTTCCTGGTCTGAGCTGAACTGATGCACCACTCTCTGACAACTAACAAATACTAGCCTGATTTGTTTTAGCTGCTACCACCAAAATTGGCCCTAACTCTTTGTCTGTTTGTTTCACTAGTACCTGTACCAAGATGAGTTATAACTTTTTGTCTTTTTGTCTCAACAATATCTTATTTCCATTTTTCAACTTCTGATTGAGATTCAATCAGCACTGCCAAACCCTTACATACTAACACACTCCTATTGACTATCTGGTCAATCCTGCATATAAACAGAATCAAGAATATGCCAGACTGGCTGGTCCCAGAATATATTAAAAAGTACCATTAGCTGACAACTAATTACAGACACTTTTTTTCTGGACCCATAACAGTTTGTAGGATTGATTATGCATGAGTTTTACTCAGATGTCCTGACCTCACAAATGTACAGCTATCCTTTGTTACCTATCCAACACACATCATTCAATACATGTTTACAACAAAGCAATCCCATCCAAATTTCTGAACCACAGAATTTCATAAAATGTTTGTATTAATATGTATACCAAAATACCCTGGTTATACTATCATCATTCAACCTTGTATAAACATCAATTATCCATGTGTTCATAACCTTCCTACTTCACCTTTCTTTACAACACATGCTTGACAAGGGACTGGCCATTTGATATTCTGGTGGGGGTTGGGGGCTGGGATTTTGTATTGGGATTAGAAATTTTGTCATCTACAGCTACAAAGCCATATTTTTTTTATTCAAAACTAAGAGCCTGAATATCTTCTTAAGACATACACCATGCAACAATGTAATGTGGCAAGCAATTTGTTTTCAACTGTTGGAAACATCATTATTTTCTTTCACGGATATTTGGGGACAATTTTTTTAAAAACAAAATCCCAGGCCCCCCTACCCCAAATATCAAATTGTCAATCCTAAACAGTGTTAGTATCTACACAGAAATGTCACATTCATTGTAATTAGCCATAGAACTTTTTCCCTTATAGAAGTTGAGATATCGATTGCTGAGGAATGAGCTGATATGTCTCAGGCATATGAATTCATGAGTAAGCATGAATGTCAGGATTAATAATTTGTTGAGTGATTTTGTGACAGAAAATTCATATTTGTTCCCATGTATAATCCCTTCAACTCCATAAATTAAATTAAAGCCTAAACCAAAATATTTTGCAAATGTCAACCGTGTTTGGCGTGGTCTCAAAATATTGCTGTTAATGTACTTAATTGACATTTACGTTGATGGGGTAGCAACTTAGGATATGTACTGCATTATATTTGCTTGGAAACATGATGGAATAGTTAAAAGCTATGAAACAGGATGAGTATTGGAAGGTTGAGGTTTTGGAATCAAGAAGGATTTGTTGTTCTACAGATAGCGTCTTGAGGTAGCATTTATCTCCGCTGATGACGTATATGAATCTGTACTTTTGAATGTTGTGTTATGTCTTGCCACGAATCCTTTACATTTAGCCAACAGGGTTGAGCTCACAATGTCTGACTGCCGTACATAAGACAACATGACCGTGTTGTGCTGCCAGCATATATGTCTTGTATTCCTTGTTTCTTATTCAGCCGAAATTTTCGCCATGAGTTGAACTTTTGTTTCAGATGGTCTGAAGTCGACAATGTCATATATTCCTGTGTGGTCACCTTCAGACTACTCACGTTCTGGGGGACAGTATCTGATTCTTGGATGTTATATTAAATGGGTGGGTGGGGGGTGGGTGCGGTCGTCTAGCCAAGTGGTTAAAGCGTCCGCTCGTCACGTTGAAGACCCGGGTTCGATTCCTGACATTGGTACATTGTGTGAAGCCCATTTCTGGTGTCCCCCGCCGTGATATTGCTGGAATATTGCTAAAAGCGGCGTAAAATCATACTCTCTCACTTATTTTAACTGGTGTTATCCATGACAATGACACTGACGTTTTAAATAGGCAATAGCTGATGTTCCAACCAGTCTATGAACACATCATCTCCTATACTTTCCTTATCAAAATCATCAGTTTTCTTTTTCGCCTTGAAAACTAGCACACATCAATCAGTAAGTCCCACATCATAGGTTGGGGTGTGCAAAACAATGACACAATTACCTTTACCTGATCGTACCATGGCTTCTTTTTGTCCATAGCCACATGTAGTCAGTGGAATGATTCATCAAGGTAAATTATCTGGATGCCCTGACCGTGATAGTTATCAATGGTTCGGAGATGTGACCTCATAGACAGGATGGAATATTATCCCCTGAAAACTGCTCGGTCATCGCAACACACAGTGTATCGAAATCCCATCTCTTGGAGAGCAATAATTAGTGCAGTGTGGGAAACATCAATTGTATCTTTAATTTCTTCCCAAATTCTACTACAAGTCAGGATTACAAGTCAGGGTTACCTTCTGTTCATAAAGCTTGTACACTACACGCCTAATCACCCTGTATCAAATCTATCTGATATCCTTTTGTGTCCTGGTTTTGTTTTTGAGACCACCCCTATACCTGTTTTGTTTTATTTATCATACCGTAGACTTGATGGTATGAATTGAAAACCCCATAGCTTGGACAGTTCGGTGAATGTGAATTAATAAATGGTTCCCCTCTATCTCTCAAAGTGTAAAGAACTTGTATACATCCCCTAGTACTGACTCCATGTCTAGTACCATGGCTTGGCTATGCCGGTGTAATGTAACATGCATCATGGGAGCAATGTTGACAAAACAAACGCAGTGTCATTTTGTCATTTTAGAAGATGCACATCAACAATTTTCTCCAAATGATTTTTGTGTGTGGATCAGATGTTTTATGAAGACTACATTATTATCATTCACATGCGCATATTTCTATGGTCCATTTTAGATTACCATCATTGACTAAAAATAAATGATACTTTTAGAAGATGCACATCAACAATTTTCTCCAAATGATTTTTGTGTGTGGATCAGATGTTTTATGAAGACTACATTATTATCATTCACATGCGCATATTTCTATGGTCCATTTTAGATTACCATCATTGACTAAAAATAAATGAGACTTCCTGTTTTCGTTCAAATTTTCCCCTGTAAACTTGTCGATAGATCTGCTTGTGACTGATATACTTCAAACCACAGGTAGGTTGATCGGTAGTTACTCGATATTTCAATTACAACAGTCTGTGAAAAATTATATCCTATTTTAACATTTTTCTAGCATTTCCGACAGTACATTAGGAATTAACTGGGCATGACAAATGCTTCAGCATGCTGTGTTTCAAGGTTTTTGATTCCTGATCTGAAATGCTCAGAGTTTATCTTCTCTGGTGGACTATCTTCAGAAAGGCCAGACCATTAATGGCCAAATATTTTGCTAATCTGCTAAGGTAACTGCATGAGAATATAGGTCATCACTAAAGGTATTCAACTGGGACAATGCACCTGTGAAATAGTTGTTTGTTGCCATTGCTGCAATGCATGACTGTTGCATACAACTCATTGAATATTCCCCGTACTCACCAGGTTTTCCACCATCAGATTTCCAGCTCTTTCACAAAACCTGTATAAAGACCTACCCAGCAAACAATTTTCATGTTGCTGGAGACTTTTTTTCCAAAGTTTTACTATAGTGAGTATGTTTTCTCAATCCTGAAGTACTCATGGTTCTTGGATAGATATTAGTGAAGTGAGATGTCAAGTGATTTGTGAAATCAAAATGGATCAAGATATATGTTTCTGGTGGGAATGTTTGGGGGAATCAGAAAAAAAGTTCAACACCCTTCTGACTGGATACATATTAAACCTGTGAAGATCCGAGGTAGAATCGGTCTTCAGCAACCCATGCTTGCCGTAAAAAGGCGACTATACTTGTATTAAGAGGCGACTAACAGGATCGGGTGTTCAGGCTCGCTGACTTGGTTGATTCATGTCATCGTATCCCAATTGCGTGGATCGATCTGGTCCAGACTCGATTATTTAGAGACCGCCTTCATATAACTTGAATATTGCTGAGTGCTGCGTTAAACAACAAACAAACAAACAAAGAAACGGATACATGTTAAGATATAGTTGATGCTGACAGCCTTTTTAACTTGATGCCATTGCTCACAGGTATACATGTTGAATAGTTGACTAGGTGAGATAGGGTAACATGATGCTATTTGTAAGGTTCATGTTTCAGGTCAGCTACTCACAATGCCTAGGAGTGATTGGATATTCTGTGTTGCCACTGCTGATCATAGGAACCATCATGCCCCTTCTCAAGTCCTTTGATTACCTCACCATGGTATTCAAAGTAAGAGTTAAAAAATTAACACATGAAAAAGTAATATTTTGGTTGTAAATGAGTCATTTCCAAAATTTGTAAGATTTTTTGTTATATGTTAGTATCTCATTAATTATGTTATTCTAAAAATGTGTTTTAATCTTAATTTGTATCTTATATATGTCTGCACATACTACTATAAACAAATTAGCTATAAATTATAGTTAAGCTCCAAAAAATTACTTGAAGGGTCAAATTTTGCCCATTTTAACTTGTCACAAGCCTGATGGCCCAACTTCATGATATTCAATTTTAATCCAAAATTAGTTTTTGTCAGACATTTTTGCATATATCTTTAAAGATGATCTTAGATTAAGTATAACAAATTATTTAAATATTTTTGAATGAAAAAAATATGATTTATTTCCGTTTTTATGCTTGTCACAAGGTTACATGTCACTACTGTTATCAGAACTAAATAGTTTGAATAAATGTCATCTTCCTAGCTGACTGCTTAAACTACTTCCTGTTCCAAAGCCTTACTTTTTGGATGTCAACATTTGCTGCACCTGTTTTTTGGAGACGGCAGAAATAAAAAAATTACAACACATAAGGTGAGTTGTTTTTCATATCTCATGTTTTGTTACGTCACTACTGTTACTGGGCTTGAAAACCTATGTCATAATTGTTGTGTGCATATGTGTACTGATTTTCCATTTTGTGCATAGTTTGTGCATGTGACCAGAGATTTAGCGATTGTAACAAATTTTGACAAAAGTGCATTGATAAAAGTGTTAGCTAATTTTCATAGCTGTTTTGAAACAATAATATATGTAAGCTTGACATTGCTTGACAGATTTGTTTGAACTGATTGACATAGTTGTTCTAATCTCATACATTTTAGTTGCTTTGTAACAGTGGGGACACAAAATGTAACAGTAGTGACAACTGATTTAATGTTGTAAGAAAATGGTTTTGGAGATTAAGTTTTACAATTGAAGAGAATTACTTTCAAAGTGCATTTCTCATTAAACACTGTTTCACAAAAACTGATACCGATTTCATTGAATTACCAACAGTTTTACTTGAAGTGCATATGTTGTAACAGTGGTGACACTGAATTGTAACAGTAGTGACTAGGGATTTTATAATTTGAAAGAATATGTTGTAACTTACTGTTACCTAATTTTAATACGTGTTTAAAAAATACCTCTTTAAGTTTTACAAAATTGACTTGAACTGAAATATTGGTTGACATATTTTTTTATGTTACAGTAGTGACAAAGGGTTATAAGGGTTTTGACCAACTGGTTACAAATAGGTTTATGTTTTCAGTAGTGACAGATTACTGTAAGATTAGTGATAAGGTATCTTGAAACCCAATATATTCCATTTGACGTCTTTGAATATTGTTTATGTTTTCCTTGTAATATTTCAGAAGACTCTGGTGGCTTTGATGTAATTGTCAACATAGTTTCTCCATTCAGCTAACACATGTTTTTGCAACTGTAGTGACTAGGGTTGTAAAATTTTCTTTAAATGTTATGTTTTCAATCATATATTTGGCTTTTTCAGTGCAAAGAATCAAAGATGGGTATGAATGCGGTGGAATGCCAAAGGTGTTACAGGCAAAAGGAGCGATGGTACTCCAGAAGCATATTCATCTCTGGACAGTTTTGCACCTCTCTGGACAGTTTTGCACCTTTGACACCAGTGATTAGAGACAATTTGGAAACACCTATGACAGCAGTGAATCTTGGCCAATCCATGATGCAGGATGTTCAAGAGATATCTTCACCTCTGGGCAGTTTGGAGACACCAGTCAATCCCAGTCAATCCGTGATGCAGGATGTTCAAGAGACATCTTCACCTCTGGACAGTATGGAAACACCTATGATACCAGTGAACCCCAACAAATCCATGATGCAGGATGTTCAAGAGACATCTTCACCTCTGGACAGTTTGGAAGCACCTATTACAACAGTGAACACCAACAAATCCATGATGAAGGATGTTCAAGAGACATCTTCACCTCTGGACAGTATGGAAACACCTATGACAATAGTGAATCCCAACAAATCCATGATGCAGGATGTTCAAGAGACATCTTCACCTCTGGACAGTATGGAAACACCTATGACAATAGTGAATCCCAACAAATCCATGATGAAGGATGTTCAAGAGACATCTTCACCTCTGGACAGTATGGAAACACCTATGACAACAGTGAATCCCAACAAATCCAAGAAGCAGGATGTTCAAGAGACATCTTCACCTCTGGACAGTTTGGAAACACCTATGACACCAGTGAACCCCAACAAATCCATGATGAAGGATGTTCAAGAGACATCTTCACCTCTGGACAGTTTGGAAACACCTATGACACCAGTGAACCCCAACAAATCCATGATGCAGGATGTTCAAGAGACATCTTCACCTCTGGACAGTTTGGAAACACCTATGACAACAGTGAATCCCAACAAATCCACGAAGCAGGATGTTCAAGAGACATCTTCACCTCTGGACAGTTTGGAAGCACCTATGACAACAGTGAATCCCAACAAATCCACGAAGCAGGATGTTCAAGAGACATCTTCACCTCTGGACAGTTTGGAAGCACCTATGACAACAGTGAATCCCAACAAATCCACGAAGCAGGATGTTCAAGAGACATCTTCACCTCTGGACAGTTTGGAAGCACCTATGACAACAGTGAATCCCAACAAATCCACGAAGCAGGATGTTCAAGAGATATCTTCAGCTCTGGGTGAAGGGGGAGATGGAAAGTCCCTTGTCAATAATGTTTATGTGCTTTTTTGGTGAGTTACCCATGTCTCAACATTCTTCTACAACAACGTTTGTTTTGAAAATGTTTTTCGTCTTAAAACCGACACGTTAACCAGTGAGACATGTTTTCTCATTCAAATTAAAGCTTATTCAGTTGATATGATGTGTTTGTGTTTGATAACATTGTTTGTTGCGTTGAAAGATGGAATGTGGAAGCCATATAAAATTTCTTCTTTCAGCAAAAAGTCACTACTGTTATGCTTGTCACTACTGTTACATATAATGTCACTACTGTTATCGGCCTAAATTATAGTAAATAATTATCATTGTCCTTTTGTTTTTTGTTTTATCTGTTATTATCTAATGAATAAGCATGTAACTGTATGTCCTGAAAGAAATCTGCCAGAACAAACAATGTTTTAGTACAAGAAGACGTGTATCATAACTTAAAATTTTATCAAAATGTAAATTGACAAACCAAAGCTTACCAAAATGTTTTTATATTTTCTTCAATTTGGTTTCTTTTGACTTTTCTGTGTACACCTCTTCGCAGAAAATGATATTATCGCTAAAAAGCCCAGTTCAAATAACAATTTTTCAAAAAATCCTTACTTTACAACATGTAACAGTAGTGACTTGTAATTTGCATATTTTGTTTTTAAATGTCTGCAAAAGCAATATTAGGATTCATTGAGGTTGCAAACTCTCTACCTTAACTCTAAAACATGTTGTTTTGGTATTAATGAACCAAAATCAAGGAAAATAAATATTTGTTTTTTGAAATTCAGAGGCACCAAAAATCTTACAAATTTTGAAAATCACTCAAATACATCATCCTCACATGCTCCCACTTTGAGTCTAAATGATTTAAATGAAGCTTCAATTTTCTAATTGATGCCTCTGAATTAAGCCTTTTTGCACACAGAAACATGAATATGAATACATTGATAGCCTATTTATAAATAAACAACAATGGCAACCGATAACCCATCAGAAGAGTAAACGTTTGATATAACAACATTATCAGATATTTTTGGCTAAGATTTGGACATCCTAGATCTTCGTACTGACTGATCAGATGATGTGATGACAACACTTAGGGACCAAATTTGATGTGAGATAAAATTCCTTCAGTTTTGAGCCATACTCCACCCCACCCCCAACCCAAAACATTATAATTCCTTTGAATACACTACCTCCATTACACTGCCATAAATTCCTTTTTGGCTGTTAATCACACTTTAAGTTTTAATAAAAAAAATTCAACAGACGTCCTCTTCACTGCCAAACTTTCTAATAGTTGTGAGGGTACTTATGCAGACCTGTCAACCCTCCCGCATTTTGCGGGAGACTCCCGCAATTTGATGAAATCTCCCAGTCTCCCGCATGATGGACTATTTCTCTCGCAAAACAGAATTCTTCATTATTTTAAAAATTCGCCTCCATTGTCCCATGAGTAAAAACAATGAATGGGAAGTTTGCGTCCCGATCTGTCCGGTAGGCTCCCGGATTAGCGACCCTTATCACAGCCACCTGCAGGGGGACCCACATGGGCCTTTGTCCAGTAATCAACTGGTAATTAAATTCATATGGTGAACGATTGAACAATGTAAACTGTTAAGAAAACTTGGATTGTCCTAACAGGTGCCTGTAGGGTTGAACTTGAAATGAAAAATCAGCCAAGTATTCATCACTTCATGAAATGAACTGTTGTCTTCATGTTCTTAGCGTGTTTATTCTTCCAATATTTAAGAACGTAGATACATATGTCTGGTCCAGTTATACATGACTTTATTGGTTATCAGATTTGTCAGAAACTTTGTTAAAACATCAACATAACTCAAAGTTACGTCATTGAACTCTTGGAAATGAAAACAAAATATGTCCTGCAAGTGCCGTCTTCAGAAACACTATGCATGATTGGTTGATTCGGTAGTCGAAATAACAATGAGTTACACGATCAGGCTTCCTCACAGCTAGGGTTTCAAAGTCAAAGTTTAAAGTGAAAAATATATATTTCCTTTTGACTGACATCGTGACTTGTGTGCAAAGAAAATATCAAAATAGAACTTTATCAAATTTCGCGAGAATATATCATGTGATTATTTTACACGATTTGATTGGCTAATAGTTTGCTTGCGTCCCCGATCTGCAATCTAATTTGCATTACAACAGTACTAGTCAACCAATGCGATTAATACACGTCAGGGTCAGAAAGGTCGACAACGAGACTCATTTCATTC